AAGTAGAAGTACTCAGATCTTGTACTTGAGTAAAAGTAGAAGTACTCAGATCTTGTACTTGAGTAAAAGTAGAAGTACTCAGATCTTGTACTTGAGTAAAAGTAGAAGTACTCAGATCTTGTACTTGAGTAAAAGTAGAAGTACTCAGATCTTGTTCTTGAGTAAAAGTAGAAGTACTCAGATCTTGTACTTGAGTAAAAGTAGAAGTAGAAGTAGGAATACTCTGTTACAGTAAAAGTCCTGCATTCAAAATGTTCCTCAAGTAAAAGTAGAAAAGTATTCTCATCAAAATATAGTTAAAGTAGCGACAGTAAAAGTAGTCATTGTGCAGATTGGTCCATTTCAGAATAATATATATGATATGTTTTATAATGATTGATCATGAAAGTGTTCTCAAAGCTGGTAAAGGTGCAGCTAGTTTGAATGACTTTGTATACTGCAGGGTAGCTTGTGAATTTACTCCAGGTGGAACTAAAGTCTGATTTAACACTTGATTATATTTCACATCATTCATCCAGATCTGTAAAGTAACTAACGGTATTAAATACATGTAGTGGAGTACAAGTACACCATTTACCTCTGAACTGTAGTGGAGTAGAAGTACAAAGCAGCATACAATTCCCTCAAAATGTTACCTAAGTACCGTACTTGAGTATTTGAGGGTGAGCTAACAAGCTCCACATGGCTATAGTGGATGATCTAAGCGTGCCATGTTAGCGAATCAAAGGCAGCAGGCTGGCACGAGATAAAGAGTGCTTGGCCTTCTCTCCCTCTAACCCTGCTTTTATTTCTCCATGGATCGTGTTTCAGGCAGCTGTAAACCCCGGCATGCCTCCACACTGCCGTCTAATCGCCTCGCTCTTTTCATGTTTCTAATCAGCTCGTCTCATTTAAGGCTGACTGTAAACCACAAGCAAGCCAGTCTATTACAGACAGCAGCACTTTGTAGGCCATTATGTTCCTCTGGCAGGGGAATCAGAGCGGGCTGGATTTCCTTTATCCAGCGTTTGTTCTCCGGCTACACGAACAGGCCGTGAAGGAGATACATACCCTCAAGTGAGGTATTAGATGGAGCTATAGTACGCTGCCAAAGAGGAAAGCTGGCCAGGAATGTCAAACTTTATAGATTTCCCTCCGCTGTTGGCACTCCAAACCAGAGGATCAAGGCTAGTGATTGAATGTCGAAAAGAGGGCTGTAGATCCAGATCGTAAGCAGCCCTTATAGTTAAACAAAAAAGGACAGAGTTTGGATGTACGGTATAGTTTTCTCCACAGGACGATAACTCTTAGATTAGTGCTGCATTTGCAACAACACGGTTATATTTCATAATAACTTGAAATGTCACAGACAGTCTATAAATCTCAAATAGTGCTACAGTCACACAAATCTTGAATTGTTCCTCAGACACATTACTTCTCAGGCTGTACATAGTGACAGTATAACGCATGGCTTGGCAGTATTGGTCTACAAGTTGCATCCAATTCTTTGCCTATAGTTGCTATTGGTGGGTCGAAATATGGTGAGCAAAATAAGCTCAATTTTGAACATCTGTTGCATTAGTTACACATGTAAATATTGCTGTTACAGTCAGAAGAAGCTAACGTATATTGCTCACATGCATCTGAAACAATGTCTGACTAACTTGTAAAGATTACAAACATATATACAAATTCAATTCACAATAAACACAATGAACCTGAACATATAAAATAAGGACTTTTTTGAAGTCTCGGGAGGTGAAGTTTCCAGGCCTCTTCATCAGGATGTCAAATTATGATATAGTCTGTTTTTGATCAAACTTTTATGGACAAAAAACATGTTACCACCCTCGCTTACAGTAATGTTGATTTAAAAAATATGTTTAAAAGGGACTTTAAGTGTACACTACATCTTGTTAAGTATTACATTTTCAGCTTGCCTATCAATCACTGAGTTTTGCCGCTACGAAACCCCCACTTTCACCCCAAAAGATGATTTTTTGGATAACTTTTCAACCTAATGACTTAAACAAACGGTAATAACAAAAGAGGTGCCAGATGAAGCCCAGGGACTGACAATATAAGGAACTTTTGTATTGCGCAAAATGCTTGATATGCTTAGAGTAAGGACGGTGAAGTAAATAAGATATTTGTCCTCCAGTCGGGATGCTTTACTGGTTTACGGTGGCTCCGAGCCAACAACGATTCCCCCTCCATCGCTGTGACAAAGACCAGTGCTACCAATTCCAAGATGAAAACTCAGAGGGGAGATTTAAAACCAAAACACACAACATAGTGTCGGGAATCGTTGCTCAAGTGCAGTCCCAGTTTGCATTACTGGACAGAAGTGAGCCAGCTCGGAGAAATGTGCAGATGTTGAATGTGTTTACAGAATGCAAACATCTGTATATTCTGTATAAAGTCAATAAAGGTAGGTCATTCTCCTGCTTCTTGGCACTCTTTGCTACGGACCTCCCATGCACATGTTTCAGTAATGACACTCACCACTCTGCTGTAGGTTGTTTATATTAGTTATAAACAGTGGTGGGAAGTAGTGTAGTACAAATACTTTGTTACTGTACTTAAGTACATGTTTCTGGTATCAGTACTTTACTCCACTACTTATTTTTCCGACGACTTTTTACTTTCTACTTCTTACATTTGAACACAAATACCTGTACTTTCTACTTCTTACATTTTGAACACAAATACCTGTACTTTCTACTTCTTACATTTTGAACACAAATACCTGTACTTTCTACTTCTTACATGTTGAACACAAATACCTGTACTTTCTACTTCTTACATGTTGAACACAAATACCTGTACTTTCTACTTCTTACATGTTGAACACAAATACCTGTACTTTCTACTTCTTACATTTTGAACACAAATACCTGTACTTTCTACTTCTTACATGTTGAACACAGATACCTGTACTTTCTACTTCTTACATGTTAAACACAAATACCTGTACTTTCTACTTCTTACATTTTCCAAACAGGCTGGTTACTTTAGTTTGAATGTGTGTTTGGTGGCGGGATCATTATTATTTAGAGTCATTGCGTGCCTATTGATTTGAACACGATCCGTGTATCCATCATTTCCTGGTCTTCTCTAAGGCTGGCGTCACACTGTCCCGAACTTGACACCAGATGGACACACGAAATATGGAATTGTGAATTTCGCACGAAGATGGCCCCGAAGTTGGTCAACGGCCAAGCAACAGCCGAAGCAAGTACGACTATGCCTACAGAAGGCCACACGATGGCACCCGAACCACACACTCCGTCATGTTGTTTCCATAGCAACAACAACTTCCTGTCAACAGCGTAAACTCGCCTTAAAAAATAAAAGCATCTAAATAAAACAGGAAGTTAACCTAAATTACATTTAAGACATATATACAACTGCAACGAAAGTAACAAAAACAATGTAATATCCTTTTCAGTTTCACAGAACACAAATTGTACTATAATACGATGGCTACACGACAGCATTGCGAGGGCTTCACGTAGTCGTGTTGCCTTCCTAAGACAATCAGGCAGCTTCTTGTTTCCTTCGTATTGTCTTCGTGAGGCGAAAAATGCCCGATGGCACCGATGATCACACGAAGTAAAGACAAAGATGACACGATTTGACAAGATGCCCTCACGCTGGCCTTACGAAATTCAAAATGGACACACGAATTAAACACGAAAATGAACCTTCGCAAGGTCCTTCGAAAAAATGTTGGCATGCCAAAGATTTTGCCACCGCTCACGAAGTTGCCGCCGGAGCCTGAGAAACTCCACCGGCGGTCATACGATGGCTTAAGATGCCCTCACGAATGGCCCGATGTTGCTACGATCAGAGCCGAATTTGAACATTTCATTTATCGTGTGTCCATCTGGTAAGTATAATTTCGGGACAGTGTGACGCGGGCTTAAAGAAGAGGGACCAATGAAAACGTTGTCATGTTGCCGTTGTTCAGCATGGAAACATTCATTAGCTAACAATGAGGTCTTTACTTTTACTTGAGTAAAGAAGTTTAGTCAGTACTTCTACTTTCACCAGAGTATTTTTAAACACGAGTATCTGTACTTCTACTTGAGTAAAGGGTGTGTGTACTTTTGCCATCTCTGGTTATAAACTTGCCAAACTGTATTTTCCTGTTATGCAGGTGGCCTAATATGACCGGCAAACTGGAGAATAGGAGGCCTATATTAGGGATGGCTGATAAAACAATCTTAAAAAAGTTGCATGATATGATCTGATACAGTTAGGAGATTTATTTCCCATGACTATAATCCTGCCTACAACCGAACAACCAATAACTCTTTGACTCTGCTGTAGACTACTATGTTGCTTATTCGTCGTTACAAATCTTAAAAAGCGGATACATTACTGTGTGACATTGCAAACAAGAAGAGTAGTAAATACTGTTCAACCCTCAACGATGCATGATGAACAATCTGGTTTCTTTGGGGTTATTTCGCACGGAGAATACTCTTAAAACTCGCCATTCAATTGAATAAATACACATGAACTCTGTTATAATGGTTGCTTTGATTACAGCTTAAAGGATTATATTGAGGCATTGGAGAATAGACAAGCCTCCGCATATGAAGGAATGGGTTAATGAGGAATGGGTTAATGCTATGAGGCTATGCTCACTAGGATGAAAGGCTTTGAAAATGCTGAGGATACTCCTTGGGAGTGTTTCTGGACACACATAAATAGATGGAGACTATTTAATTTGAATGTTTATCAAGAATTGGACACTTTTTCTTTTCCATTGCTGATGTACCTAATTTTCTATTTTGTTATTATTATTATTATTTCACTTTTTCCATGCCATGTCTTTTAATGTCAATGCCAGGACCAATGGGGGAAGAGGGATTTGTTTATGCAATGTACCGCCAATGTTTATTTGTTCTGAATGGAAAATTCAATACAAATTTGATCTATAAAAAATAAATACACATGAAGTTCAAAAAGAAATTGAGATAACATTTTGTCCGTAGCCTTGCTGTACTCACCAGACTGAAGTCCCATTGTGGTCTAGGGGTGAGGAAGGAGAAGGAGCTTCCTCTACGAAGTGACCTGAATGACAACAATAGGGAAGGGTCAAGATTACAAAATAACTACAATGCATCCTCCACTTTAAAAAAACAACATCTACAGGGCCTGTTCAGCGTGCTGTAACAACCAATTCCAAGTGAATCCCTAAAAACCCAACAACACTGTGAATAATCATGACTCAGAAACAACCGTAAGATTGATTTAAACCCCCAGTGGAGACCACTCTGACCCAAGAGTGAGTCAAGCCGGTGACGTGAGCATCCGTAGGGTGATAAAAGGGAACTGTGACTCATGGTTTCCTTAGAAAACATTCATAACCTACCACAGCCTCAGCATGGTGTAGCTGAAGCGCTGATCTCAGACCAGATAATGATGCTCTCTGTGAGGAAACATGACCCCAATTCACTACCTCAAAAAAAGCCCCTTCCAAGTTGTTCTTTGAGCTATGACCCCTGTGAGATTTGAAGGAGGAGTCCTCTACCAAATGTCTCTTTTTGTTGGGACTTTCTGGAAGGGGACAGCTTTGCCTTTTTTGGAATTCCACAGTGGGATTTTCCCGAACTAAAACACCCCCCCTAGAGCAGCCCACATACTGTGAATCCCTGTCATGTCAAACAGTTTTTTTCTTCAACCTTTGTGATTATTAAAGTGTTACAACAGAGCTTTTCCGGATAAGGCCCCACTGGAGGACAATTACACAACACATCCAGCTCAGTGATTGGAAGCAGAACAACATCAGATGCACTATTTCAAACAGATGAAATCCTTTCAATGATCATGTTTTTTCACTGCCGTAAAAGGCGAAGCAACTGGGAAGGTTATGAAACTCAGAAAGCCTCGACACAGATTCTGCAGAAAGACTATCATGTTTAACCCTTGTGTTGTGTTCGAAAGCTGTTACCGTTCATGGTGTTCGCGGGTCAATTTTGACCCATGATTTATTTCAGTCCAAAACACTACAAAAAAATTACTATCATCCAATATTGTTTTAACTGCATCATAACTAACTTATAATGCATTCATAACCGTACAATCCTGTTGTAATTTTATTTGATGGCCCTAAAACACATTACACCACATATTGCACACGTGCATATGTGTGTCCAGGTTCAAGTGTTAGTGCACATATTCTATGTGAAAGGTCGAGTTCCCGTGGGGGGGCGGGGGACCAGAGGGAGGGGAGACCAGGGTGTATGTTGCGAAAAATTATTGTTACAGTGGATGAAGGGGGTGGGGCTGTTTTTTTTTTTTTAGAGACCTTCAGACTTGGCTAAAATTGTCAAAATCAGTTTTGTAGTGTTTATATATCTGTTGTGGAGGATATCATGAAGCCTCGTTCAGATCAAAAACACTAGAGCGTAGTTAATATATCATTTTAACTTGAAACGGGTCACGGGAGACCCGAACACAACATGAGGGTTAAAAGATTTTATCATGATGGTTCTTCATTGATGAAACATTGATCTCTACACACTTGAATCCTATGAAAATGCACCAAAAAGTCAAAATATTAAAGACATTGTGGAGTTTGTTAAACTGAACTCAACAATAGTGCATCACACTCAGCCGACATGACATCCTGATGAATCAAAACCTCCCGTGTTGCTCGGTATTCATAACCAAATCCTTCACATTATTATAAATGCTGTCAGAACAGTTGAAGATATTGAAGATATATACGATGTCGTGGGGGTCTTAGAAGGCGCGACCTAAAAAGGCTCCAGCATGCGGAGAATGCAGAGCTGCTCAGAAACACTTGTTCTGTGTGTGTGTTCAACAAGTGCTGCTCGTAAGGCTGAGTCATTCCAGTTATAGTGCAGCGCTACTACTGTCGCTCCAGTTGGCCTCGGTCCAGTGACACAGACAACTGTCCATCTATAGTCAGCACTACAGGCAGCTGCACTCGTCTTAAGTCTACTAATCACTACAGATCTAATTATCATTTGTAATATTCCTATTATAACGCTTATAACAATTAGTGTGTCTGGGAAGATTTGAATGAACTGGAGAAATGGGAGACATTTTGGTCAAATAATGTCTGTGTTTTTAGAAATGAACTTGAATTGAATTGGTAGGAATGCTATACTAAGAAAGACCCAATGTAGGCATGTAGATGTAGAATTAAGCTGTTTAAATACAACAAGTCCCATCAATAGATTTGTGCAAGAAAATACAGACAGACTTCTGCAATAAGTTCCTCTACTGCATCTGGTGCTATGATAATGTAAAAATACAAATCAAGATGGTAGTTATAGCCGGAGGTCATCAGTCTGTGCAAGAAATACACAAGCCTGTGGATAACTCTTAATACCACATTTTTGCCGCTCTTGGACTACGGGGATGTTGTGTACATGAACGCCTCAGCTCACTCACTTCATCTGCTGGACGCTGTCTACCATGGGGCTCTGAGGTTCATAACAAACTGTAAACCCCTCACACACCATTGCACGCTGTACTCTTTAGTCAACTGGACATCATTATCAATGCGCAGATCACTGCACTGGTACAAATTCATCTATACCGCTATGCTTGGACTGCTGCCCCTCTACATATCCACTTACATATCACACAAACAGTACAGCTATAGCCTACGATCTCAACATTACATCACTCTGTCCGTCCCCTCAGTACGCACGGTGCTTGGAAAAAAAGCCATATCATACTCTGCCCCCTCGACCTGGAACACACTTCAGCAGGAACTTAAGCTGACCAGTTTGATACCCATCACGGATTTTAAACTAATTTTAAAAAAGCTGGAGAAATCATCTGTGGGTGTTTGCACCTGCTATATCTGAATACTTTATATGGATTTCAATGACTACTTTTTTTACGATGTTGTATTTTATTGTTGCCTCTGTGTTTAGTGTCCTGTCTGTAACTTTGTGTGGTAGTGTTACCACTGACAGGTCTCTCTTGGAAATGAGACCTTGTGTCTCAATGAGATTTTACACCTGTATAAATAAAGGCTAAATAAAAAAAATAAAATAAAATAATACAAATAATTTCCCTTAGTTAAAGGTGGGGTAGGTAAGTTTGAGAAACCGTCTCGAGATACACTTTTTGTTATATTCCATGGAATGCTCTTAACATCCCGATAGCAATGAATATCTGAAGTGCTTTGACAAAAAATCCATAAAAAAATGTCATCTGTGGAAGCCGTAGTACTGTAAAAAGCACGACCAATCATTTTAGCCGGCCTGTCAGTCTTCCATCTGTGCACACATTTTTTCCGGTTGTGTATTTTCAAATTCTAGCGCACTCGAGCTGGTTTCTCCAAAATGACCTACCCCACCTTTAAAAGGCCTTAATATAATATTTTAAGATAATGAACTTGCATTATACACGTTGCAGTTGCTATTGGACATGCGGCACAGCAGTGGGTGACAGAAACGGGAAGCTGGATTAACTTTGAACATCCAAAATGGCTATATTCGCCAAACAGTGATCTCTGGTAAGCTTAGTGAGAAACCCCAGTAATAAAGCACCACAAATCAAAAGTGTTAAAACCACTGTAGCCTATTAAACTAAACGACATCAGGCATGTTTGACTAAAGAGCCAATAAAAGAGAACAAAGGAGCAAACAGGTCCTGCGGAGCTAAGTGGCGCTGAATGCACTAATGAACTCAGTCAGGTTGAGAGTTCCTGTCGGGACCACCCAGGCTGGAAACGCATGCTACTGTAGGGTGTTTTAAATAAGCAGCATGTGTCGTGGAATAGCAGAAATAGCAGAGAGAGATTTGGGAAATGACTCCCTGGGTGTCCTGCAGACAGGTCAGGGGTCAAAGGTCACTACAGGTGGTGTTCAGAGTTAACTGTTATGGTGCTATGTTAACTTGACACTCCTGTACGTATGTATATATAATAACTTGCTTTATATTTTGTTATTGTTAATTTGTAAATTCAACATGTATATTTTCTACTTTCTATACATGTAGTATGTCCTGTCTAAGTGTCTTCAATTTGGAAATGTTGACATTTGGATCTTTAAAGGGGCCATATTCTGCTTATTTTGAGGTTCATATTTGTATTTTGTGCCTCCATTTTAAGTTTCCATGCTTTAATGTTCAAAAAGTTCTTTATTTTATGGTTAAAATATGGTTATGCTGACCGGCTCTGATGTGATTGGTCAACCACTTAGAGATGTCCCGCCCCTTAGCCTATAACGTACAATGTGAGCCAATAGAAGCGCAAGTGTTATCAATATGTTCAATGCAGGCGGTAGAAACTTGGAGAATTTCACCCTTTGCAGACCATTTACATGCACACAAACCTACACTACAGGAAAGGGAAAACCCCCAAAAGCATAATAGGGCTTCTTTAAACTTGCAGGAGGCGATGGATGGGGTTGGGAAATAAACTCAGTGTCTTTCAAAATGTTACTGTGTCAAAGATGTGCATTATATTGCATAGTATTTATTTTTGATAAGGTTGGCTCCTTCTTTGCTAATAGCACTTGTGTAATAACTTCTATTGAAATCATCCTATCGTACGGAAATCAGCTGACACAGCGTATAATCAAGAACACCTTGCACATACTGTACTATTGTTTTTATTACACTCCCTCACAAGCTACTGTTGCATAAGTGTTTATAGTAGACTATGTGTATATGTTTCTGTCCTTTAAGTAGATCGGTATATTAGACAGTATTCAAATGTATTCTGTATATGTAGATACCCCTCTGAATATGTATTTTCTACTGTGATAATGTATATATTTGGTTTTAATGTTTATTTTATTCATGTTTTATTCTATTTCTAAGACATTTTGTACTTCTTGCACAATGATTGTCAAGACAAAATTATTTCCCAACTTACGGTATAAATTAAGTAATCTATCTATCTATCTATCTTACGCAGGAGAAGTTAGGATGTCTCAATAACTGGGTGTTGTGTAGCTATTCAAGTGTTATTGTAATATAGTGACAGTAAATTTAGGGTTTGGCTGATGGGAAAGCTGAGGCTTCTGCAGAGCATGCAGTGAAGCAGACAGTCATTGTGCCTCATGGCTGCAAAAATGACACACACACAACACACAACACACACACACACACACACAAACCACACACACACACACCACACACACAACACACACACACACACACACACACACAACACACACACACACACACCACACACACACACACACACACACACACACACACCACACACCACACACACACACACCACACACACACACACACACACACACACACACACACACACACACACACACACACACACACACACACGTCATTTTTCACCCCAGTGCGGAAAGGCTTGCTGGGAATCACACAGGAGATGAGAGCCTGCAGCGATTCATCTAAACCGGTCTTCCACTCACTGCTTTATCTCAACGATTTATAGAGCGAGCAGACGAGGGTTTATGTAACAAGAGTGTTGGGAAGTCACCAAGCGTTGATGAGCTGAGAGCCGAGGCAATGAAATATGATCTAGAAAAACCTGAAATGAAATGCTTATCACACGTCAAAACGGTCTAAGACTTTTTTTTTATTTACCCCAGTAGATATTTAGCATGGTATATAGGCCTAATGCAGTGCTTGATGACATTGCATTGCGTAGTGGGAGAAAAATGAAGCAGGTTACATTTTATTTGATTACTGCCACACTGTCAAAACTTCAAAATGAATGAAACAGACTGTTCTTAATTATGGTAAGAGACATATTGGCCTTTTTTTATCCATGCATAATGTAAATCCTTACCCCAAAAAGGTATCTGACCATTAAAGAATTCCAACAATGTTACTGAACACAACACAGCCCGCTCAGTGATGGGATGGTTACGCAGCAAGCAGAGAAAACTTCAAAGCTTTTTAGATCGGTCAATAATTTATACTCCGATTGCTATTTGGTATCTCCCATCTTCGCATTATTCAAATGCTTTTAATGAGAACTGTGTGTCCCTGCTCCTGTGAAACTATGCAGCTATGAGACTCATGTAAGGAAGACATCTGAGAAAATGATCAGTTCATAAAAACATTTGTCCTCATAACGTGACTCATCGGATGAAGACTATCCTGTTACCCATGATATGATCTACTACTGAAAGCTGATAGTCTGTCTAACGCATTAATGACGTGAATGAATTGTCTCTGAATATTCATCACTGTACCAACCCAGGGAACAACAGACTTTTGACACTTTACCTGGTTCAGTATGTTGAGGGGAGTGTTGCTAATAAGCTAGGGGGTTAGCATGCTAGTAGCCATTTTGCTAGAACATTCTAAAACTGACAGTTTGACCCCACATGTCCTTTTGTACTGGTATGAAGAAGGTATGCACAAGAACACTCAGTTAATATCATGATTTGTATGACGGTAAGACCTCACTTACGTGCATACATGTTTTATTAAGTGTTATATGAAGTGAAAAACATATTTGATTTTTTTAATGAGGCCAAAACCCACCCTAAAAAACACAGTGTCCCAGCATTCAATGTGCTTTTCTGGCGATTTACAAGCACAATGAACTTATAATGTGGAGTTCACAAAGTTTTGAACCACGGGGTTATTTCTGTAGAATTCTGCATTGCTGCCTTTAACAAGCTAATAATAAAGAAAATCCCCCTGCCAGTGTAGTACGAAATGCAAATGTCACTTTGGTAATCAAGCTTTATTTTCTCTGCAGTCAAAGCCGATGTTTTTTTCCATAAACATTGTTCCAGAGGTCAACTATTGGGTGATGTTTTTCCATGTTTGTCTGCAGAGTCGGTTAGCACTGGGCAGGGCTGGCACACAACATGGAAAGCCTTTGAAAAGAGTCCAATGTAAACTATGGCAGGGGTTTATTATACCAAAGCATACTGATTACTGTTATTGAAGTTGGCCGCCAGTCTGAGAACTCACAAGATAATCTAATTTGACTGATTCAAATGAGCACCTTTCAAGTATACTGGTCACATTTGTGGGCAATAGATTGAAGAAATGAAAGAGACAAGTGTTTGGGTTGCCTGGATGCAGAATCTCAAAAACTACATAGAGAGATAGGGTTAAAAAAAAAAACACTGCAGAGCAACAATTTTTACTGTTCAAATAAGGAAAGTTCAACCATAGCGAACTGGCATTATTTTAAATTAATTTTTAGGGATTTTACATGGGAATAGGTGGTAGAGATTGGGGTCAAATCCATGGTTTTGTGCCTAAATGCAACCTACAAATTGAGCTTCAGTTGATAAAAACTGGAATCAGACTAAGTGGATAACTTCCAAAGTTACAGTTATTCGTACGATTTATGGTAACACTTTATTTTGATAGTCCATCTGTTGACACACTATTAAATTACATTACATGTAATTTGTTAGATGCTTTTATCCAAAGCGACTTACATACTCAAGTGTCTTGCCCAGGGACACAACGACATGCTGACTGCAGTGGGACTCAAACTTGCTATCCCCTGATTCGAAGTCCAGCACTCTATCCACTGAGCCACAGCCTCAGTCATCAGTTGACATTCAACAACACTGTTTCAACAGACAAGTAACATGCATTCAACTAACTGCTAGTAGAATATAAGGTACATCTCAAGTGTTGATCTATAGATTTGACAAAAAGTGTCTGTCAACATGTTTTTTTGCAACAGGTTATTAACCACCATTCAACCTTACTATCTGTATTGTGTCAGCATCTTCTAAATTGACAATCAACAACTCAAAATCTACAATCTACAGATAATAAGGTTGAATAGTGGTTAATAACCCGTTGCGAAAAACATGTTACTTGTCTGTTTGAACGGTGCTGTTGAATGTCAACTGATGACTAGAGTGTCAACAGATGGACTATCAAAATAAAGTGTTACCCACTTTATTTTTCCTTAAAATTGGAGTTTTTTTTTTCCCACAGTGACATAGAGTATAGTAACCGTTTTTGTGCAAGTATGGATTATTATAGACCAGCTTTTTTCTGTGGTTTACTTATCTAATCCTGTTTGAAAATAGACTTAAGTTATTATAAGCACACGACTGAAAATAAACAAATACAGATACAGATTTTTGTGGAGACAATTAACTATAAATAATGTGTTACAAGCAACAGGAAATTAAATACATTAGAAAAAGACACAGGCTACAACCAGCTCTTAATTTAGTGGCGCACTGCTGACACCTAGTGGCGTTTTGACGCAACTACAACATCTGCAAACTGTTTAAAACTACATAAAACTCATCGTATGGATGTGGATTATTTGGTAGGTTGTTAAACAAAACGTATACTCACTTGCTTATTTATGACATTAAAAACCTTAGTATAAAAGACGATACACAGCTAAGTAACTTGAATTTACTGCCACAATGTGTCAGACTTTATCATGCTAGCCACCTTTAGCTCAACTGTAACCGGAATAATAGACTGTTTTTGGCAATGGCGGTTTGTTTTTCGGTTTATCACTGGAGTGTTTTTAAGATTAAATAAGCACTTACCGTCTCAGACTGCTGCTGTTTTTCTCGAAGGGAGACTGTTCTTCATCAACAGAAAACTTCCTCCTCGAGTTTCTGGAGCTTTGTTGTCTTTTTAGTTTCTCTGGAGCTTCACCGGTTTCTCCCATTTGACATGTTAAAGTTTTTACTACCTGCTACTGAATGGGTTTAACAGAATAACAACAATACATCTATTCTACTGATCCACTACAACAGCGGAGACAAGTGACTTTTTTTGAATATGGCGGAAGTCCAGAAATCGACCAATGAGAAGAGAGCGGAGAAAGTCGTTGCTAGGATATAAGGCTAAGTGGGCGGGACCAGAGCGGTGATTGACAACACAATGAAAATAATACAATCAACAGTTTGGAGTGATTTAAATACATTTAAGGAATTACATAATAACAAGGTTTCATTCAACATGTATTGAATCAGCGAGTCAGAGGCTATTCCTAATCCTCAGTGGCAATGGGTTGAATTAATTAACTCATTTTGATCCTGTTCATATTCACAGAAAAGCAAAGAAACACACTGCTAATTATTAGACCATAAGTCAATTTAACTAAATCCTGTCTTGTTTGCATCATTTTATTATTATTATTATTATCATATAACACGCAGACATCCATTAACAGGTATATTTTAGCCATATAAGATAAGATAAGATAAGAGGGAACTTTATTTATCTCCTTGGTGAAATTCAGGCGTTTATAGCAGCAACAAGGTCAGAGTTAAAAACAGGATTCACACAAGGTAAAAATAAAGACAAAATTGAATACAACATTAAAATAATAATAATCTTTTACATTTAAAAGGCTGACGTCATTTCAATTATTGGCCGTTTCGTCTAGTTTTCTAAGCGGAAGAACGAAATAAATGATTTACATTTTTCGTATTGGAATACGTGCTGAAAGGATAAGATGTGTTTTGTCAGTAGGCCTATAGTACTATTTTATAAAACATTCTCTGTTGTTTAAAGGTCCCATGTCATGCTTTTCCGGTTATTACCCGTCCCCTTGTGTGTTATGTAGCTTTTTCTGCATGTAAACGGTCTGCAAAGTCACAAACCCTCAAAGTACACCCTGTAGCGAGTAAAACTCTAACACAGAAAATACCTGTCTATGCTGCCCCAGAACGCCTCGTTGGAGATTTCTCTTTTTCTTCCTGGGTACAGTGACGTGCCCATACCCAAATGGACCCATTGGTCCAAATGGACCAATCCGTGGAGCCGTTACATTACCTCCGCGGAGCCGTTACATTTGGACCAATCCACGGACTTCCTCACACACACACACTCAATCTTTTCTCAGCTGCAGCTCCGCCGATTTCTCCTCCCTGAGACGGCGGGACGCGGCGAGGCTGGGAGTTTGTGTGTGTGAGCACACACAAACTCCCAGCCAGGCTGCGGTTGTTTGTGTGTGTTTGGGCTGGTTTCGGGCTGGGTTTCGCTGTGTCTCGCTGTCTCGCAGACGGCCACTGGGCTCATAGGGATGGGGGGGCAGGAGCTCCAACAAGCCGTGTAGGGCAGAGAGTGAATACACATACTATACAGAGATGCTGTATGAGAAACCAATGTGATTTTGGAAAATTTAAGACCTTTAAGTGTCTGATACTTGATAACCACAAATACAAAATATGAAAAAATGGCACCCCCACTATAACGTTGTCCTAGGACCTAGATAGTCGTACTGTCACCAAAATCACACTGGTGTTTGCTGTCCCCCTCTAGTTTGTGCACACAAAAGCATTTTACTTGAACGCCCTGGACCGCCCTTCCAACTCACACAATCTTCACCATTTCACCCACAAATATTATAGCATATCAAAGATATTGTTAAAGACACGTGCACTTGTTGAAACGTTCAGAGCAATTGAAAGTACATTTGTTATAAATGTTGTCGTATCCACAGAAAACAAGGAGGCTACCAAGTAAAACAACATTTTCTGAAACACACAGACACAGACATTCATAAATATATAAATGTAAGTAAAAATAAATGTAGTAATACATTAAATATATATAATGTGTGTTCTGTTTTATTCTCAATTTATATATTTTTATTTAAACATTTATTCCTGTATTTATTTATTTGTTCTTGTGTTTTTTTATTCCTATATTTATTCCTGTATTTATGAATTATTTATTTTTTACGTGTGTCATGTTCTGTCCTCCATACCTTTGCGTCACTGTGTGCATAAAGGTACATACTAAATCCAAATCACATCACAGCAAGACCTATAGTTGGGCGTTCATTGTTTTAAAGACACATTGGTGGTCCAGAGGTCAAGGTTCAACACCCAGGGAGGGGACATGTTTTGTTTTCTGCTATGCTGATGTTAAATCTGGAGAAATTGTCCCCACCACTTTTCTAACAAAGTGACGCTTATGCACATGTGTATCTGCTGCTAGAATATCTCACAAAAAGGCATGGGTAAAAATGCAAGTGTGCATACAGTAAGTTAGCATTAATTTACAGCAAGACATTTTAAATAACAAATATGGGGCGAAGCCTGCGAGCTAGTTCAGGCAGTGAACTCGAGCACCAATCATACATTAACATGTGACGCACCTCGTCCCTCTTACAACCAACCAAACACATTCTCCTAAACATGCCGCTCTATTTAAAGGGGACCTATCATGCAAAATGCACTTTTGTACGTCTTTTATACATGAATATGTGTCCCCGGTGTTCCAGGGAACTCACCAAGTGTCAGAAAACACAACCCTCTCTATTTTCCTCCATACCCAAATCTCTAAAAAAGGGGCTGCAACGGATCTGATAAAAACTGATCCAGATTTGAACACTGTCCTGACGTCAGGACGGTGGCGCTACGGCTATTGGGCCAACTCCACCAATCAGGAGGAGACAGCCACGGCCATTGCCGTTCAAAAGCGCTGGAGACGCTGTAGTACATATGCCAGGCCTGTAGGTGGTGCTGTTCTCACTGAATCTGCCCTTGCAAAAACAGAGCTAAAAAAGTGCAAATTGAGCGAAATGAGGCATGGCTAAAATGCATGATCTGTTTGGTATTTAAAAAAAAAAAAAAGTATAAATATGCCTTATATAGGTACAGTGGCGACTGGTCATTATGGGCAGGTGGGGCACAGCCCCATCTAGTGTCAGCAGAAAGTATTACAAATAATGATTACAAAAAATGCAAAAAATTAATATAAAAATATATAAAATATATCGTCTGTACATTGCTGTTTTAGTCTGTGTTCTTCTAATTAGTGTCTACAGTGTGTGCCTATTGAGCTGTTTAGAGCCATGTGGGACAAAACCTAATCATGCCCCTCCCTCTCACTGTCTAGTGAACGGTGACTGTAAAAACTACACTGCGCATGCTCAGAGTATTTTCCTATTTAATGTGTGTGGCAAAAAAATAATGACCAGAGGGGCACGGAGCTGCCATCCCCACCATACGTCATCTCACATAATTCAGAGCTGATTGGCTGTAAGTACGTGTGCCGCGAAAAGTGTGGTGTGTGAAGAGGAGACGAGAGAGCTGCAGTGACGCGTCCTAAAACCAGGAAGTAAGCTTCGCATGGCTTCCCTCGACAAAAAAGCAATGAGATTTCTCCATAGGATTTTAGAAAATAGCTCGAAATAAGATCTGTGGGAAACGTACCTGTTAGATAAATGCACGTTTTGTTCAGCCGGATAATATCCACATGTCTACCCTACTTTTATAATTTTTGAATCATAAATCTATCGATTAGATTTATGATAGACTTTTGAAACTACAAGAAGATAAGGAGGACTTTTACAAAAAAGTAATAGAATTTTTTGTCCAGAAGGATAGGCAAATGGACTTCATCTTCAAGTCAAGGTAAGACCGCCATTTTATTGAAAATGGGATCTTACTAAGAGAGAACAATTCAATATTTAAATGATAAAATTACATTTTTTGGGTATCCTTTTGTTGAACTGTCTGTTTAAAATTAATCGAAGCATCAGACTAAAAAAGCTTTTGAAAATAATATTATATTTTGGTTTAGGTCAAAATATAATATTTGTAAACCTGAAGAGTCAGTGCCAGTGCCTCACCAGCCATGAACCTCACTGCACGTCACTGCAGAAGCTTATATATAGACATCTAAGTTTTTTGTGCCCCACCACTTTTGTACATATAAAAACGCCACTGTATAGGTATGGTCCTACACTATATTATTCAAATATAGCATGATAGGTCCACTTTAAGCTGCCAGGTCTTCCTGCTTCTGCCTCGCTATGCTGCTGCTGCTGCTGCTGCTGTGTTCACTTGCTATTGCTGCGTTCATGTTCCTGCTGCTGTGTTTCATGTTGCTGCTGCTCGCCTACCCCACCACCACCCCAGCTACCACCCCAGCTACCACCCCAGCTACCACCCCAGCTTCCACCTGTAGGCTCGGGGGATAGTTATCTAATCATCACTCAATGTTCTTTGTAAATCTGTGGAGTGATGAGGCCCGAGCCTAGACGCCAAACTCAAACTATACGCTGCTTATAATGAACATATCAAGAAACACGTGAGTTGTCTGACTGAAATCATATTTAGTGTAAAATGTACTCCATATATTGATTGTGTTGGTCAGTTTACAAATATTTCTGTGTATTAATGTTCTATTAAAACTGCATATGTATCTATAATACAATAATTTACTTTTGTTTTATGGAAAAAGGTCAATTATACATCAATGGCAGAGAAAAAAACCATTTGTTATTATGGTCAAAACCTGAAAAAAAGTCTGTCTAACAGGATTTTTGTATAAAACATTTCACTAGATACAGGAAATAAAACACATGAAGCATTTTCTTGTGAAATCTGGCCTTTTTATTCACTTCAAGCAGCTCATTACATTACATACATATATCACCCTCTAGTGGTGATCAGTAGGAACTGCAGTAACACCCACTTGTTGCCGGCAGTGTAAATGATAACTCTTTTACACAAAAAACAAGGACGATGTACAATAGCTGAGCTCAACATATAATCCATGCATGGTAGAAGTTAAAAACAACATTCATAAGTATCCTTCAAACCTCTGATTAATCTCTTAAATCAATAAACTTAGAGACAGTATAGTTACTTCCTTCTTCTTGTCCTGTGTCCGCCTCCCAGATGCATTGACCCACAGTTTTATAACCGATTTCTAATGGTGCTAGAAGGCTGCAGCGGGCTCTAAACACCATGAGAAATCAGTCATCTTTTAGAGGAGAGAAATATGAGGAGGAAGGCCAGATCCTCCAGAGACTCACTCACTGCCATATGCTGTCCTCCTGTCCCCAAGAACACTGATTTCAAATGGTGCTAGACAATGGGAACATCTAATCCACCATGGGAAACCAGCTTCTGGGGGAAGATGTGTTTTTGGCGTCAGCTGCAGCAGCGGTGAGAAGGTAGGGAATTAGCCTCAGTAGTTCCACTTATATATTGTATTTGATCAGCTCTTTTGGGAGAATAAAAGGAGAGTAAATGTTGCCTCATGCAGGTGAATCCTCTCCCTACCTTGACAAAGTATACATGAGCATATATCTGTAAAGCATTGGGAACGAAAAAGGTATAAAAAAACATGTTTTTGTGCCACTTTGGTTCAGTATCATTTGGCATACTTACCTGACCTACCTTTCAATGGTGGGATCAGGATCAAAGCTGTAATTCATACAATTTGGGAACAGAAACCAATTTATTTTGAGATTTTTTAAGTGCTTTTTGAGGAAATCAGGTGATTTTTGAGGGGATATAAGAATATAAAGTGAATTAAAATGAACAAAGATATATAAAGTGGGTTTTAAACTACTTTCATATAAGGTAAATAGATTGCAGATTGTCTGAGGCAAAGAAAGACACTTTGAATTTTTAGCAAAATAAGACCCTATTCACCCTATATAAGACGGATTTGAATGAAAATCTGTGCATACACTCATGGTTTTCAGAGGATGAATTGTATTACATTTGATTGCTAACATCTCCTCCCTCGCCACCTTAAGTTAACCCTTAAATACTTTGATTCATGACCAAATTCTGCAAATCTAACGACATTCCCATTAGCCTCAGTTGTACATTTTCCCGAATTCTCCTCACTCCCTTTAAGTAAAGTAAAATCTGATTGAACCCCTCCAAACCAAATCAAACGTCTTGTTCCACACCTCAGAGAAGCACATCGGAGGAATGTACAAACAGTGTGTGTGTGTGTGTGTGTGTGTGTGTGTGTGTGTGTGTGTGTGTGTGTGTGTGTGTGTGTGTGTGTGTGTGTGTGTGTGTGTGTGTGTGTGTGTGTGGAGGCCTTTGTTTCCGTGACACGAGACACCACACACACTCGGCTGTGGGAACTGGCTCCCAGCACTTATGTAACTGGACAGGGCGTCATGACAACAAGCCTACAGTAAACGCTGCATTGTCCTAGTGGGTCCTTACAGGTGATTGATGGAGGTAAAATAACCCATAATGAGTGTTTTAGAGGGGGCGATAATTGGGGTTTAATGACGGCATTAGGGTCGTGTGGGTGGACCGCACAGTGGGACGTAAACAAAGTGGTGCAAAGTAACTTAGTAGATTTACTCTAAGTACTGTAGTTGAGTACAATTTACATGAGTATTTCAATTTTTTGCTACTTTGTACCCCTACCCCACTACAATTCAGAGGTAAAACATGTACTTTTACTTCACTACATGTATTTAATACCTTTAGTTACTTAGGATTAATGATGTGAACTATAATCAACCCTTAAATTCACTTATCCACGCAGACTTTACTGCATCCTGTAATTCTGCCTATGGCCACAAGAGGGAGACATGACATATGCACTATGGTGATGTGACTGCCTGTTGATCCACACATGGGAAGGGAAGCTCATGTCTCCTGCCATTAGTTTAGGTAAGGTCATTTAAATGTCATAAAAGCACATTAGAATGTCACTTTAATGGCTGTAATTGTCGCAAATATCCCTGCGAAGAAGTCAATGTTTGATCAAATGTTTAAAAAAAACGTGTTCTTTCTGTGTCGTTGTATGCACCATTTACACCAAAGTTAATTCCTCGTATGTGTAAAGCTACTTGGTAATGAAACCGATTCTGATTCTGAAAAGGAAACAGCCGGGGGCTAACGCCAACCCAGAACCAACCAACACCCCCCCACCAGTTGAAATGCAGGGCGCACACACACACACACACACACACACACACACACACACACACACACACACACACACACACACACACACACACACACACACACACACACACACACACACACACACACACACACACACACACACACACACACACACACACACACACACACACACCATTTTTGCTCTCCGGGGAGAAAGGCTTCCTTGTGGAGGTGAGGCGGTCGCTTGTTTTCAGCTCTCACTCCGGCTTCCTGTTCTATTTTCTCCCAGGAAGTGCCACACAGAGACAGAGACACACACACACACACACACACACACACACACACACACACACACACACACACACACACACACACACACACACACACACACACACACACACACACACACACACACACACACACACACACACACACACACACACACCACACACACACACACACACACACACACACACACACACACACACACACACACACACACCCCACTGGCATGAATGGCAGTCCCTGGCTCCCACGGTTACAGTGATGTCACCTGTCAGTCCTCGCTGTGCCTGGAAAGGGATAGAGAGGAAGGAATGAAGTTAAATAATGACGATGATATGTTTCATACAATATGTAATTATCGTAACAGTTTTGCTGAGTCATGGTGCAACACTCCACTGTGCTGACAATCGGACTCCTTTTATAACAAGCCTGTTTTTGGGTCAAAGATGTGTCGGAGTCATAATGATATCATGTGAACTACAGCGTTCATGTGCATGATAGTTGACCCCCAGGAAGCGAGGGGTAAGTGGATGGATACATGGATGTTGGGATGGATAAATGTACGGATGTAAAGGTGGGTGGAGCAGCATTAATCCAATACATGCACAGGATGTTCACGACATTTAGCATCGAGCATTAGTCACACTGCGGCACCAGTGTCTGAACCACCTGCCACGGGACGCATCATCACACACCTTCACGTGGGAAAAAGGGAGAGAATGTGTGTGTGTGTGTGGGGGGGGGGGGGTGTGTGGGGGTGAGCTGGGTGTTTTGTTGACAAAGCATAAAGCAGGATTTCACATTTTCCAAGCGTCCTTTAACAAACAGTATTTCTGCCAAGCACACTGTTGGAGTTAAATCATCACTAGCAAGTGCTCAGAGAGAATGGACAGAGAGAGCCAATCAGATGTTAGATGATTTCCTCCTTAAAGGTGGGGTAGGTAAGTTTGAGAAACCGGCTCGAGATACACTTTTTGTTATATTCCATGGAATGCTCTTAACATCCCGATAGCAATGAATATCTTAAGTGCTTTGACAAAAAAATCCATAACAAAATGTCATCTGTGGAAGCCGTGGTACTGTACTGCCTGTCAGCCTTCCATCTGTGCACAAACTTATCTCGTGCCCTCATTGGTCATGTGCGCGTTCGTGTGTGTTGGAGGAGGGGCTCTGTAAGGAAGTGGCAGATTTGTTCCGGCTGTGTATTTTCAAATTCTAGCGCACTCGAGCTGGTTTCTCCAAAATTACCTACCCCACCTTTAATGTAAAATTACATTAAAAGAGAGCATGGTTGATAAGAAAATTAAACACAATTTGATTGGACTGTGTCCCAAGGAAATGAACTACGGAGTTGCTTGTAGCTAATTGATGTTGATAACTACATTTGGGACGTATTACAGAAACAATGGGATCATTAATCTCATGTCTTAGTTTTGTCTTTGATTTCTTCTCAGTAAATTGATTTCCACTTCTTATTAGCTGGAGGTCCCTGGATCCCACTAATACCTTGAGTAACTACCATCTTTGCTTGGAATAAATATCACTTAACATTAATTTCCTTAAAGACGCAGGCACTGTGGTGAAGTGGAATAAAACCCTTGAATAGTTTCCTGTAACAGAGAAGACAGACTATAGGCTGCACATGAATCACCCTCCCAGCTGATCTCTACTCCAGCCGGCAGATCTCAGGGCCGCCGACCTGATACTGATCCTCCCTTCCCGTCAAGGAACCTCCTCTGTGTGTGAGCCATCTTATTGTTCATATATATAGCTTCCAGGAAAAGTAGAGCGGCTTGAAACGACAAGAGAAAATGCTTCATAGACTCAACTGTGTGGCGTTTGCAGACGCTGAATCACAGAGCAGAGACCACTGAACTGTCGTTATCCATTCAACTATTAATACCACCTCAACCGCAACTCCGTAAAGAACACTAATAGGATGTTATCAAAAAGGACGGTTGGAGGGAAAGTTGGCACAAACTGAGCAATTCATCATTGGGAAACCAGGTGTCTGCAATGTGGGGGATATGTGTGCATGCTCTGGTTATCAAGTGGATGTATGTGTGGGTGTGCACAATCTATAATGCTACGTACTTGAATACCCCTTCTGCTCTTTGAATCAATGAGCTCTTTGACTTAAAGATTCAGTTCCCAGAGAACGCTGCAGACCTCCAATCAGTTAAAGCAGCTACTGACAATGCTGCCATTTTCATTTAACAATGCGAGGGTGTTTGCCACATGCTAAGGTTGAGTTCAGACCAAACTGTCTGAACCCTACTGTCACTTTTCTCTCACTCTGGCCTTGTTTTTTTTTGACAGCAAGTCCTGCACCTGTATGGTAAAAACTAACAAGCATGGCTAGAAGGAGGGTGCAAAGACACAAAAACAAAATGCGCCATCGCTGTACGATATATTCAGATTAAGGTCGCTCAATCTAACGCATCATGTTTGGGTTTAAAGGGGCGCTATTATATAACCCTTGTTGGGGTTTTCCCTTTCCTTAAGTGAGTTTGTGTGCATGTAAATGGTCTGCACACTCCCACCCCACCAAACAAGCCTTCACTGGACTCCTTTGCTAACATCCGTAACTATTGGTTAGTGCTCTAAAACATTGTACTTGATAAACTAAGGGGCGGGGCTAACCAACCAGAGCAGACTGAGACAAATAAAGAGCTTTATGAACATTAAAGCATCGCTACATGTCACAGTAGAGACACAAAATACAAATATGAAACTGAAAATGTGCAGAATAGGTCCTCTTTAAAATCCTGTTTTCATAGCTTCTTCAATTTATTCTCTTTTACAGCATTAAAACCTGGATCCATAATGCGTCAAACGTCGCAAACTAAATCAAATCATAACAAATCCTTCCAGCAAACATCACAGCTCATCTACGGATACATTTGATCTCGGACACAGTTTGATATCATACACTGCGTATGGCTATATCATGAATAAAAGTCTCGTTGTTTCTCCCATCGCTGCACTACATTACCATGAAGCATGTGATGCTGTAGTACAGTGTACGTATAGCCTCAGGGTTCTGGGTGTGCTAATGTGTGTCAGCGTTGCGGTTCAGACAGAGGTCATGCAAAGTAAAAACCCAGAGGGAGGCCGGCATGACAGCAGTGTGTAGATTAATGCTAATTCAAACACTGCTGATAGCTGCTGAGCATCAATCTGCACAAAGGAGCATAGTGGTAGTATAAAACAGTCATGTAGTAAGGGTGCCCACACACACACCACACACACCACACACACACACACACACACACACACACACACACACACACACACACACAACACACACACACACACACACACACACACACACACACACACACACACACACACACAACACACACACACACACACACACACACACACACACACACACACACACACACACACACACACACACACACACACACACAACACACACACACACACACACACACACACACACACACACACACACACACACACACACACACACACACACACACACACACACACACACACACACACACACACACACACACACATTTTTACTCTGGAGTTTGTGCTTTATTTCCTGGCCTGGTTTCAAACTGTAGTCTATATTTAACTTCCTTTGTGGAAAACAAAGACATCCCAGACGGCACGAGTACGGCAATGCGGTGTGTAAGGCGGCAAGTTTGTTAAGCATTGTTTCTTGGAGGAGACTTTAATTTCTTTCTGTGGATGTCCGCTGTGAGAGTGTGAAGTAACACAGCAATGATACTTTGTTATCTAACCCAGACACAACAAAATGTTCTGATTGTGTTCCAGTCCTCCATGTTCCAGTCCTCACCCAGTGAGATAAAAGTTTATATCATGACTAATATTCTAAATATGCTATGTGATAAGGGTCAGAAGTCAGAAAGTGGGCTAGGTGAAGCTATGACATGATGTTGGGACTATATAAAACATCCAGAAGTCACAAGAGTCATATTCTAGGGAAGTATAAACTCAAATTCATGGCAATCTGGGCTGTACTGTCGCTCCAACACATTGTACGTGATAGGCTAAGGGGCGGGACATCTCTAAGCGGTTGACCAATCACAACAGAGCCGGCCAGCTAATCAATCAGAGCAGACTGGGCTCTGGTTCCAGACAGAGGGTGAAAAGAGGTGCTGCAGAAAAATAAAGAGCTTTTTGAACATTAAAGCATGGAGACATGTCCCAGTAGAGACACTACATAATCAATAAATACTTCTTATAACATTGCCAGGCTCTACTGCAAATCAAAATGTATAAAAGACAAACAACCAACATGATTACAGTGCACAAATGAAATGAATAAAAGGCTATCAACATCCCTGTGGGGGAAAAGGAGCCCACATCATTAGGTCACTAAAGTTCCTGCGTACACAAAAACCCAAACAAGGATGACGTAATCCTGCTCAGAATATCCCCCTTTCTCGAAAGGAGAGTGGGCAAAAACAAAAAAGCCTTCCTTCTGAAGAATCTCAAACATCTGGCTTTGTTTGCCGACAGGTTTCCGGGAACATATCGCAACTCCAGTCCTAGAGAAGCCCAACCTCTTAATGGGACCATTTAAAGCTGTTTGATAGCTAACTAGATAACATGCACGTTGTGTTACTGGTTATATTAGTGTTTTATGTGCATTGTGTGAATACATTACCAGTCTGTAGCTTTGTGCTTTGGTAGGGATGGATGGATAGATGGGGTGTGTTGTCATGACAACAGTGTGAGTGACTCAGGCTGATATCAGAGTTTAGAGGAAGCTGCTTTTAGCCTTTTAAGGAGACAGTGATTAAGTGTGTGTGTGTGTGTGTGTGTGTGTGTGTGTGTGTGTGTGTGTGTGTGTGTGTGTGTGTGTGTGTGTGTGTGTGTGTGTGGTCATGACATGATGTTGACACATCACCCACTTACAGTAAAACATGGTATTAAGTCATTTTTTGTGCCAATAACAGCACTTACTCATCCAACCTGCCTGTTATCAGATCACACACACACACACACACACACACACACACACACACACACACACACACACACACACACACACACACACACACACACACACACACACACACACACACACACACACACACACACACACACACACACACACACACACACACACACACACACACACACACACACACACACACACACACACACACACACACACACACACACACACACACACACACACACACACACACACACACACACACACACACACACACACACACACACACATTCACCCAGGGTTAGTCAGCAAAGCTGTAACCGCAAG